ATGTAGAGAAGGGATCTATTTATTCTCAGGTTCTTCATTAAAAGTAATTTTTAAAGATTTTTGTGCATCTGTAGTATTGTGACTTTGTTCAGTGTTTAATCTCTAGCTTGTTTTGCATAGGAAAATAGTTCAATTTTATTACCACCCCTTCAAATTTCCAATTCTGACCTCAAAACCAGTGTTTTCCTTCCTGTCCTTCCTTCTTTCCTTGCAAATGTTGGTAGACATAGATAACTGATAGTGAAAATCAGCTATACTATTGTTCCACTTCTTTTCCAGCCCTTGGGGAGTGTGCTGGGATGCTGTTGTAGGAACTTGTCACACTTAATGTCAACCCTTTTCTTAGACCTCAGCAGGTACCCTGGATGCTCACAAGGGCTAAATAAGACAGCTTTTGTAGCTGGTAATCTTTCTTATACCCTCTGTGCTCTGCAGATCTGCTGGAATAATCAAGAATAACACAGCAGTGTAAGGGTGGTCTCACTTATATTGAAGAAGCTGTAATTTGACAGCTAAAGGCTAATTGTGTTGTAACCACGTTGGAGACAGTCTATGTTGTTAGCAGGTATTGTAGAATACCCTCAAATTCTTTAAGTAACAATCTGCAGGCAAATTTTGTCTCTGAACTAAACCTTTCATCAAAGAGCGAGGTCATTTTTAAAAAATTGCAGCTGTGTTTCTTATTTTCCTTGTTTCATGTTGATTAAGTTGGAAAATACAGTCTCAAATAATGGCTATCATGGTTAATCTGCCTCCTTGGCAAAGAAATAGGAATAATGTTCCCATTTCAATAAGCCTTCACAAAATTATAAACGTGAAAATACCACCTTATTTTCCAATTATAGAAGTCCACAAGCATATATTTCTACATTTAGAGCTTTGTTTCTCATATTTATTCTTTTTACAGCACTGAGTATTTTCCATGTGATTAAGACTCAGAATTTTTGTTTTGTATCATTTTCATGAGATACTTAATAAAGCTTTTGGTTTAGGTAATGAATATTTTAAAAGTAATCTGTGGCTTTATTAAATGCCCAGTGGCAAATGCTAGTAATAAATAATAAAGACAACTTTTTTATATCTTTTTTTTTCTGATCTCCATTTTAATTCATTACAAACTTATAAAGAATTTAAGTTAGTAAAAATTTATTTTTACTTCTGTTTAAAGGAAAATGAAAATGCAGGATCATAAGGAGGTGGATGAAACTGCAAATGTGAGGATTAAGCCAAAGGGAAAGTCAGTTTTCATGCAAAAGGCTTTTGAAGTTCTAGATCAATAATTAACACGTAGGAGTTGTACCTAGGTTAAAGTAATGAAAAGGTAATATATGATCAAGCTTCAGCAGTAAATTTAAGAATAAAATAGGCAGCAGGTGAAAGAAAAACAACAAAAAACCCTCAAGAAACCCCAAATGCCAAACAACAACAGTAAAAAACAATCACAAAAACGCGATCAACCTCACAAAAAACCTCAGCCCAAAACAGCACCAACAAAGACCTGCAGCCACATCTTGGGTGCCAGGAGTAGCAGTTCCCTCCCTGTTTAATTGCTCTTGCCACGTGGGTTCCAAGCCAGTGCTTTGCATGGGCTGGATTGGAGAGTGAAGGTTGGGATAAAGGAATCATCCTCAAGGTGAGTGTGATTTTATCCCAGCCAAGTGGAAGTGTTTGTGTGTAATTCAGCTGAGAGAAAGGTGATTTATTAGAGGGCAGATCTGACTGCCTGTGACCTGCTGACCCTCCCCAAGGGCAGCAGGGCCAGTGGGGCTGTGCTGCCCAGGTTTGCTGGGGCTGTGCCCTGCTGACAGCTCTGGTGCTGCTGCTGGGCATCCCTGAGCACCTCACGGGCACTTGTGGGAGGGCCCAGTGCCCTGGCAGCATTCAACTTGTTATACTGCACAATAATTGAAAGAATGAAGGCCCAAAGAGCACAGCTTGGACAGTGGGACACAGAGCTCCAGCACATGCTTGTTTTCATTAAGCAATGGGTTCTGCTTCTCTTGGAGACTGAAGAGCCAACAGCTGACTAAGGCCTGAGTTGTGGAAGCTCCTGGAGTTGCTTTTAATGGGAATATGGTTTATATTTTTTTAAAGTGCATTGTTGAATAATTACAGCTTTGAACACATCTGCTTAGGTCATACTTATGTGTGATTTGTTAAAATAGCTTACTTTGAAGCTACTGTAAAGGGAGGGAAAAAACCATTGTTTAATTAACATGAGAAAGTTTCACTGTCCTGCCAGAAAAGTTACATCTTTGCTAAGCAAAATAAATCTGTTTTCAAAGGAATGTTGAGGGATAGAAAAAGATTTTTAGAACAGCTAACCCGTTAGTTTTTGCAAGTCAGTCTTGAGTAATGACCAAGTGAATTTGAACTTTGCTACTCCTGGAACTGTTGGGGTCCTGGATCTTGCCCCAAGTGCCCCACTGTAATTAGGAAGGAGCTTGAACATTCATTGAAGGATGAGGTTCTTCAGTGTTCCTGTGTGATAACGGGGTAACTCGATTACTGCAGAGTACCTGAAGTGTTGCAGGTTCATTCCTCACTTACTCCAGTATAGTTCATCCACTGTTCCTCAGAAATCCTTGAGCTATTTTGGGTATCGTGTCTTACCTCAGCTCAAGAACATTTCAGAGCTTCTTGTATCTTTCTGCAATTAGAGCATTTCATCGTGGGAATCCACACTTCTCTTCTTTGATTCTGCCAGGAGTTATTTTCAAGACTATTTGTAGGTTAATTAACTTCTTTGCATATTAGTTACTTGCTCTGTAGAATGTGATGGTAGTTCATAAACACTGTGGAGGTGTTCAGGTATTATCATAGTGTCATTACCACTGTCATTCAGCTGAGGTTTAGGTTGATTCTGCCTCACCCCCCTCTATCTTTGTAAATCCCGCAGGTGGGAGCAGGTAGGAGTCTGTACAACTTCTGTCTTTTAGGGTCTCGTTAGTTATGCTAACAAAGCAAGAGGCAAAACCTTAGCATTTGTTAGTCTTAGTCTTTTGTGAGATTGTAAAATAACAACAGAGGTGACTTCAGTATGTCTGGCACAGCTCTTTCTATTCCTTGAGTCTGAGTGACCCTCTCTCAAGAAGTAACACAGGGTAGAATGTCTGGGTTGGTGAACATGAATTTGTGTGCAGAGCACTTTTACAGCTTTTATCTATTAACATCTTTGTGTCTAAACCTGGCATTGGGGTCATTCGGACCTGTCCAAAGAGAGGAGTCTTGTTTGTTGTTGTGGGAATTGTTCTGAAAACACAAATCCTACAGCAGTGCTATTCTTTCTGCAGAGATTGATGTCCAGCTTTTGGGAAAGGTGTAGACTGGGCTAGTTTACACTGTATGCTTCTTTAATTTTCTTCATTGAGAAATGGGAAATATATGCCATTACCTTGTTATATTGTTGTTGAACACATTGCTTGTGTTTACTGACTGTAAATCAGGAGCAAGTGATTTACATTTGCACTGTAGCAGGATATGTATGCACTTGCAGAAACCAAGATAAGAAATGTTAATGTCTGAAGCTGCACTAAAGTGATGAAGAAGTTGGTTTTGTTTAAAATAATTTGTTTTACATATGTTAGGAATCTAATTTACTGTCTGTATGTAAAGAGCAAATTCACAGTTCTCTGGCCACTTTGCAAATCTCTTGGTGAAGCCTAGCCTGAAGTAGCCACAGTCTAACTAAAGACACACATGTTTTATATGCACACACATTGTTTGGATTGTGCATTACTGTCACATTATAAAGCATTATGCCCATTTTAATGCTGTGATTTGTAGCTTAGTTGGCTGCCAAGAGGCTGTGTGAAAAATCTTTAGGAAAGAGCCTGTTTGAAACATCTTTAGGGAAGGGGCTGTAAATATGTCATTACAAAACAAATCGCAGGCTCTCATGCCCTCAAGGCTTCAGCTGAAATGAGCGAGCACTTTTAAGATGGCTCTTCATAAAATAAATTCATCTCTAACAGTTAAATATAACAACTTTGATTACTTGAAGGTTAGAAAAAATACTTTGTTTTGATTTCCCTGTGACATGAGCCACTTAAACAGCTTCAGAAAAGAAGAACATGCTACCGAAGGTTTTTCTTTTTATGGTAAGTGCCAGAGTGGCAGATGCTGAAGCTGGAACTGGAGATGCTCTGAAGCTTAAAAAGCAGAATTTCTACAATGTGAGCCCGAGAGATGTGCCTTTTAGGTAGAATTATAAGGCATTTCTCCTCTGTAATGGGTGTACAGAAAGGTGTCTGTATTGCTCAGCTCCTTTGTAGACAAATGAAAACTGAGAGGCAGCAGTTGGTTCACATCTTCCTGATTTCTTTCACTTTTCTGTGTGTGTGTTTCTGTAATTCAGAAAGCTCATATAAGTCATCATCAGGATAAAGGCCAGCTTATAGCATAGTACAAGTTGTAAATGTGCTATTGCCAGGTTTTTCCACAAGAAGACACAATTATTGCAATATTTACTGCAGAAGGTACCAAGAATGAGATTAAATTGTCAATTTGTGTTTAAAAGAACAGCTTTTCTTATTTGATGTTTACAGTTTTTACACTACGTGTGCACGGACTTTCAATCCATCCTTGGTTTTATGTACAAGATTCTAAATGCTGTAGAGCTGGGATTTCTGGATTTTCAGGTGTTTAACACCCTCAGTTTGAGAGTGCATCTAAAAATAAATTGTTTACTTCAGTTCTGTGTCTGAATACTTAGAGCCATTGCTTGCTGAATTTTGCCTAACAGCTCCTACTGCTTCCAGTGGATGAAAAATAGGTTATTGCACATTTTTGTCATACATAATTTGAACAGGATAGTTCTATTTAGAGGTGATCTTTTATTACTCTAGAGAATTGAGTTGTCAGGTTCAGATGGTTTTCTTTGTGAGGACATCAAGATACCAAAAAAAGCACAGCTACCGTGTTTTTGATGGAAAAATATATGTGTAAGATCCTGTATTTCTTGGTTAGAAAAATTGCTGATTCTCTTAATTTTGTTTCAGCTTTACTTTTGGAAGCTCAGTCAACACCGTTTCAAATAACTCCTTCAACCATGGCAAATATTGTGAAAGGCCTGTATACACTACGACCAGGTAAAAAGGAACAATGCTTGTGCTAGTCTCATACTGTGATATGTTTCCCTAAAGATTTTTTTTTCCTATGTGTGTATGCTCTCTATTTAATGCACAGTTAACAAAACAATGTGTGTTATGTTCTGTCCATTATAATGCTCAGTTCTGCCCTGGTTCTTGTTGCCCATCTGCCCTGCACAAGGTACCATGAGAATACCAAATACACTTAAAAATACCAACCCAACCCTCTGCTCTGGAGACAAAGGGCAGATCTGTATAAAGGAGTATGGAAATGGTGTGAAGCAGTTTTAAGGTAAACTGTCTTGCTCCTGTGAGGCAATGTTCAGTGTAGTGAAATTAAATCACATTTCTGTCCTGAAGCTGAACTAGTACAGGTTAGAATTGCATTTGTTCATCTAAGCTTTGGAAGAGCAGGGAGAGAAGTGCATTATTTCATTTAAAATGGAGAGTGGAGAAGCAGGGTTGTGTGATGCTGCTGCTGTGCTTTTTAGAAGTAAGGCTCAGGTACATTTTGTGAATGAGTTTCCTGGAGTAAAGGGTCTACAATTATCTGATTATCAAGGTGAATTTGCTGATCCTCAGTTGCCTGTCCTTGAGAGTGTCCAGAGACTCAGAAGGTCTTGTGAGATGCAGCAGGAACCAAGTTTCAATTTGATGTGGATTCCTTTATCTACATGTAAACATCTGATTTTAAGTCTGATTATTTGTTTTGCTTTAAGACACGATTTCTGTGGGTTTTAGGGATGGTTTTGGGTTTTTTCTTTCTTTTAATTCAAGATACCTATATGTATTTAAAATAGAGTAAAGTTACATTTGCCGAAAGTAAAATTTTTACAACGTATCTCTTCCACATGTTTTGTTGTTGCTTTCTGTGTTTGTACAGAATGGGTACAGATGGCACCAGCTTTATTTTCTAAATTCATCCCAAATGTTCTCCCCCCTGCTGTGGAATCTGAGCTTCAGGAATATGCTGCTCAAGACCAGAAACTTCAAAGAGAGCTTATTCAGAATGGATTTACAAGGTAATAGTTATTAGTCTTCAGTAGTGATTGTTCTGGACACTGCTGCAATGGTAAAAATGGATACACCTAAAAATACTGAAGAAATAATTTTAGAGTTCATAAAAAACTTCCACAACTCAGTATCCATATGAAATATTGGCCTTATTTTCCATGTGTTGGAACACTAACAACCATGCAGATGGTACCAGAAAGTAGATGATTGGAAGACTTGAAATATTTTGATGAAACAGATTGCTTTCAATTCATGCATCCCTGTGTTTTGGTTGTGCTTCTACTGCCTGGTCATGCTCTTGTTCAACTTCAGCATTTACTTTGGCTGTTTGTTTTTTTATAAGCTCTCCTTTTTGGTTTTTTTTGATGCTTCTGAAAATGTCAGTTGATGATTTCTCCTTATTCCACTTTCAGAGTTACTCGTACAGACAAGGTGTCTGTTTTAAATAGGCATTTCTCTTCTGAGTGTTGAACTGGGAGGGGCAAAAGGAGGCAGAACAAACAGTAAAAGTCCCAGCAGAAAATGTTCATACTGTGCATTGTTCACTCTGGGCAGTGCCTGTTGCTCTTCATCTTTCCTGTTACCTGTGCAATGCTCCAAATCTGGTGCTGTAGTTTGAACACCCTCTAGGTGTGGGCGTGTTTAGTGTCAGATGTATTTCTGGATTTCATCCCACGTAGTTTTCCTCAAAGGTAATCTCTGTCTTCAAAGCTTGGTAAATTATTGAGCTTCAAAGCTCTACTGTTGACCCAAATGCAAATGGTTTGGTATAGACTCTCCTTGTAAGGCTTTCTGTTGACTAATGGAATTTTTTAGAGAGATATGCATAAAAATAAAGCCATAAGAGCTTGAGCTGAGAAAACTAGTGCATATGGCTCAAGAAATAGGAGTTTGACACTTTGAAACTGAGTAGGAATATAATGCTGACAAAAGGATACAATGCACAGAACAAAACAAAAAAAGGAACAATTTAGTTGTGTCTAACTTTCAATCTTGCTAATTCTGTGGGTGGCTAATGATAGTTCTGCTTACAAGTGCATTTCACCAGTTTCACAGTTCTTAGGGAATTAAAAATGAGGTTTCAAGTTGTAACAGTCTACATCCACAAAAGCAATCGGTTTCAAAAATGTTTTTCTTCAGTTACCTGAAAATGAGAGGCTTTGTTAGCTTGGCTGTGCAGTTCTTTGGCTGGTTCTGTAAGGAGGAGACTATAAAAAGCTGGGAGAGGTAGTAAGGGACACTGACCATTGCAAAGACTAAATGCCTACATGGTGCTGTCTTGTTACAGACTTTGTGGGATCCTCAGAATGTATTTTAGCAACTGCTGGTTTTATGCAGAAAATTCTCTGACTGTGGGACTAATGCAAATTTGTAGGAAACAGTTCCTGTCCTGTGTGATAGATGTGGGCAAAGAAAAGAGTGGGGCTTGAGGGCAGTCACGCAAGCAAGAGCTGAGTAAAGGTTTCTGTGTCACATATTGTTTGCAGAGTCTAAATTCTGACTCTTCTTTTTGGCTTTCTGGAGGATGGGACCTGCTGGGTGTTGGACATGTGGAGAGTTTTGGTATTGCTTGTAGGTTTACAAAATTGCCCCCCTCCCAGCTCATGCTTTTGTGTAACTGCAGTTTCTGTGTAGCTTGCTTTCACTTTAGGAAATAAAAATGCAAACTAAAACTTTGCAGAGGAATAACTGATGGATGGCACTTAGTGTCTGATGACTGTGTTTTGCACAGTCTGTTTTATAGGGCTGTGCTGAGGGTGAGTCAGTGCAGTCTGGTAAACATGGGGGTTATAGAAAGTGTTAGATTTGAGTGTCATCATTGAAGGGACACAGGCAAAAGATATTATCTCTACTTCAGTTTTATTTGCTACATGGCATTTTTCAGTGGTATTTGAAATGCATTTTGCCTTGAAAGGTATTTCAAGATGTAATATGCTTCTTCCTGTTACGAGCATAGGTTATGCTTGTTTATGACTTGTCAGAATTTTTCTGAGGTTATATTCCTACACATACAGATGTATAAAAAGGCTTTCTCTTTTATCAAGAAGCATGCCAAGTCTCTTCAGGGTTAGTATTAAATGTCATCTGTCCTCTTTTAATTGTGCCAGAAAATGGTGATGTTTTTGCTGCTGCATTTCCTGCTACAATAACCACAAGGAACACAGCACAGTGAGGTGTCTTCAGCAGCATTAATTGCATGTCAGGCTCTAGTTGAAGAAGGAAGTTTATCACCACTATTAAGTACTAAAATCTGCTTAAAGAGCAAGTATGGTCAGCTCAGACTTGCCTAGAGTCTGATTGTTGGGCTTTGCCAGGAGCATCTTACCTTTTCAGACTGATAGATACAGAGTTTTTCACGTAGTTTATAAAGTTTGGTTGAGGAGTTTGAATTAAGGAATACAATTTTATGTGTGACTTCAGACCATGCTGAATATGAGCAGTTTTTCTCATCTTCATTTTCTAAAAAATTATCTTATGATATCAAACATTATCCTGTGAAATCTGTAACAAAAAGGTGAGCTAATTTAGTCTACAAAATATAGCTTATCCTTTTGTTTTAGTAAATTGACAATCCTGCAGTAGTGTTATTGTTACTATGTTCGAATTTTGTTTCTAAATCTCTACAAGTTGATGTAGAGGTTGTGCTGAGGTATTTTGCTGTTGTTTTGAAAATCATCAAATGGTTTGGGTTGGTGGGGACATTTAAAGGTCCAACCTCCCTGCAATGAGCAGGGACATCTTTAATTGAGGTTCTCATGAGAATACCTTTCTCTCCCTTCTTTCCCAGAGGTGACCAGTCACGCAAGAGACCTGGAGAAGAGCTTTACAGTAAGTGTGCACCTGACCGTGCCCTCCAGGTGGGGACTCAGGTGGTGGTGGACTTGTGGGTGTTCAGGGTGGTGATGTGTCAGAGGCTGCACCTCCACATGTATCTAGCTGCTTGCAATGTAACCTTGACCACGCCAAGGAAAAATACAAATTTCTTGGATCTAGAGTCTGGCTAGCTCTGCCAGAGTCCCACAGCCACTATCCTGGATACTGAGGCCAAGATACTTCCACTTGATTTAAGTGGAAGCTGAGGTCTTGAGGAAAAAGAACGTAGTTCTCCCAAGTCTCTGCCTGCTCAGGATACACATAACAGGCAATGCTGTGAGCCAGTCCACCTCTGTAAATCACCCACTGGTGATGTGTGTTTCTGACTCTTGACAGAATGGAGAGTTTGGAGGGTTGTGCTTTTCAGCTTGGAACCCTCAGAGATGTGTCTGATCCAGCACGGGATCCCCTGCCCTGGGTTACTAAAGGCAGTGTACAAGTGTTGGAGTCATGCAGCAGGGAAGTTTTCTTCTGTTTGTAGCTGAAGCCTCTTGCTGCATGATTGACTGTGAGGTTCTTCACTTTGTTCCCTTAATTTCCTCCAGTGTAGGAGAAGAGACACAGAGAGGAGTTGGTTGCTCTACTCCAGGCAGCCCTAATTTGGGTGCAGTCGGTCAGAGGTCTCATCTCATCCATCTTCTGCTCATCTTCTGTGCTGACTAAGCATTTGGCCAGGAAAGACTAGTCCTGTACAGTCTAGGTTAGGATTGAAGTACAAGGCCCTGATTGTCATTGAACAGCCTTGGGGATTGGGGAATAGTATCTCTTGTGGGACTGTTGTTAACTTTTGTTCATTTTATGGCATTCTTTCCACCAAGTTTCCTCTGGTGCTTTCAGCTCAGTATGTTGGCTTTATTTATTACCATAAAATGCCAGACAGTTTTGTGATGAACTCTTTTTGTAAGCTGAAATGAGTGAATGGACATTTATATGGTAAATCAGCTTATCTTTATACTGTTAATGTTTTACAGGCAAGGCTGTATTTTTGGGGAATGGGGGCAAGGGACATAATGTGGAAGTTCAATATGAGAGAATTTCTCAAACTTTTTTCTATAATTTCAGGTGGCTCATCAGCTTGTGCAAGCTCCAGGGGATACAGATAGTGAATATACTGGATCAGCTTCTATTCCCAGCCAGAACAGACACTGGAGGAGCACAGATGGTATCTGGAGCCTCCTTTGGCAACTGCTGATACTCAAGCTCTGACACGAACTTTGCCTCAGAGAAGGGTTTTGGACTTTCTTCTTTGTACAACGTCAGTTGCTGCTACAGTTGGGGTGACTTTGAAAGACATGATTCCTTGGTCTGGCCTATCAACAAGTTCATGTTCTGTGACTTCTGTGAGGAATGCACCTTGAAAAACAATCCTTTCAAAGTGGAAGTGGGCAGCCGAAATCAGCAGCTTCCAAAAGCATTAGAATGGAAGAATCCTTTTTGCACTCTTTTCTTAATATTAAGGACATTCTTAAAACTAGTTAACACGTCAGTGTATTAGTTTTTGAACTTCCAAGTTATTTTCTGGAGCTTCTACTTAATAATAAGAATAAAGTTACATTATTTTGCAGTATTTGTTTGTTAGTTTAAAAATTGTCACCTTTTAAGAGTTGGTCCCTTTGTCACCGAAAATTGGGAAATAAACTCTCCAACCAATTTGGTAGGTTAGAAAGCCAACATCACTGTATTACCAGTGCTGGGTGCATGGGGATTGCTCCACAAGGCATGCATACCAGCAACCTAACAGACCAGCTTATGTTCATGGAACTAATGCATACTCATCACGTTTCTATTACATATTCATTACATTTCCTGAATACATCCATATATGCTAATTATTTCCGTGGACTTATTTGGATGTGGTTCCAGATCTTCTAATGAATCTTTTCTCCTTGAGAATATCTCAAATATGTGGTCAGGTTATAATGTGCTTCTCTTATCATTCTTTGCTCCGACACACAATCCTTGTTCTCCAAAGTTAAGACATCTGCTAGTTCATATTGATCACTGATACAGGTAAATAAGGAAGCAATAGCTGGCACAAGACTATTAATCATAGATGTAGGGATCAAACACTTTTACTGAGGTTAAAAGAATTTTCCAACGTCTTTCCCCACTGCTGCATAGACTCCTTTTATAAAACAGATATAACTTGTTTGGTAACACCATGTAAATGTATCTTCTGTCAGGGAGTTTTCGATTCCAGATCTTTGGTTTATCTCTTGTTTTGTTACTTGGTATTTTGAAGTCTGTTTTCCTATGTGTTTGTACTCTGTGCCTTCAGCTTGAGCACTTTGCGACTTTATAGACCATATTTTGTTACTGCAAAATGTGTTCTTGAGGAAAAACTTGATGTGAACAAACATGCTGCAAAGTTGCACTTTTCTCTTGCATTAAATAGGAAGTGAATTTAAGGAGGAAGGAAGAAAAGTTGAACCTATCACCATCACTAATAGTGACTTGGAAGTTTGTCCCCTTTTATGTTTCATCTGTATTAGTGTTTAATGCAGGGACCAGCTCTTGTAGAACCCCCTTCACTGACTTTTCATTGGCTTCAGGAGTTGGACTTGTGGGTCCCTTCCAGCTCAGAATATTCTGTGATTCCACAGTTGCAGTAGGTGGAGATGGGAATTCCAGACTGAATGAAATACTAAGATAGGGTTTATGCTGTGCTTTGTAGAAACACTGTGGGCAAAATTCTCCAGTCTGGAAGGTCTGCAAAGGGCATCTCCCTGAGCACAAGATTTGCACTGGGTTGATCAGCAAACTACGGTACCTGTCCAAGATCACTGTGTGGCTCCTGTGCCACCTCCCCTGTGTGGGGAGGAGCTGTGCTGGGCTGGGGCAGTGGATGCAGCCAGAATCAGGGATTTGAGGAGTGGTGTAACGGGTGCATGTGTACCCATCGGCCTCCTGCCTCCAGGCTTGTGTGAACTCGGCTGGAGATCCAGCTGGACACAATTCCAGGAGATCAGGCCTGTGGTCTGTGTCCTAATCATTGTGATGTAGGTTTTAATCAGTAGTATGGCTAATGCAGCTCTCTCATTAGGGGATCAACATACTTGAAAAGCAGCTTGATTACAGGGTTTGGGTTTTTTTCATTACTATTGATTTATTTTTTTATCACATTTAGTTATGAAGAGAAACGAGTTGGTAATACAAGATCTTTCTGAAGCGAAATAAAAGTTTGTTCTGTTTTGTCTGGCACAGCTCTTATGCCTGTTTAAAGAAAAACAAAATACCAACACAGCTCCTTTTATGCTTGCATGGGTTCATTACAAAATGCAGGAAAAAAAATAGGTGCGGCAGGGACAAAGTTTCATTTTCTTTTTTTTTTTTTTTTTTTTTTATCCAGGCTTCCTGTAAGTGAATTTAATTCCATCAGTGTCACATCATCCACTTTGGCAATGCTGTTAATTTTGAGGGTGGGGGGGAAAGAGGAATGAAGATAACACTGCTGGGATTGACAGATTCAAATCTGGTTTACATATATATTTCTTGGTGTATTTGCAAAGCCTGTTTGATTTTGAGGAAGTTTTTGTTTCAAAATTAAAATTAAAGCGAATGCTTTTAGTGTTTTTATTTCTGTGTAGCAGAATGCCAGCAGTCTGATCTCATCCCCAGTAGTGGAAAACCAAACCACTCTGAGTAGGGATTTTCAGTGTTGATAGTGTTTGCTTCAACTTTGCTACCAGCTACTAAAGTTGGAGCAGAGTTAGATAAAATCAGGGGGTTTGAAAATTTTGCTGAATTATGCTGTGGTGAAGTTAATGAAGGCTAATGGGGAACAAAAATGATTTGCCAGCTTCCAGGTCTTTTTAAGTTTTGGCTTTAAACAAAAATGAAACCTCTGATAGTGTCCTTAGCTTTAAAAATCACTGTCTGCTGAAATGGCAATATTCTTGAGGTAAGAATAGATGCATTAACCTAATTTGGTTAAAGTTTGTTTACAACTTGGTTACCATCCTAGCTCACATAATACAGTGACCAAGCTCTGTCATCTTTGTCAGGTGATCACACTTTTGCTCTGTTCCTAAAGTGGTTTTACTGGTTCAGGTTTGTAAATAACATGTAGTGCTTTTGCTTCGTGTTCGAGGCAAGGGTTTAACAATCATTTTACAGCACGTTGTTTCTGGGACAAACTTCTAGAACAATCATTCCATCCGAAGGTAAAGCATTCCTGTCAGCACTTTGTGTGCACTGAGGAGTGCTTGGATGCTCCTCAGTCCTGTAGCATTCTCACCACTGGCCACCTACCTGAGAAATCTGTTTGTTAAGCTCTGTGTTATGTTGTAAATTTGGCATTACAATTCCTGTATGGTTTGGCATTATCAACATAATGCTGAAATATTGTTTATCTGTTGAAGACATGATCGTTGTGACTGAGCATGGAACAGAATACAGCATACTATACTAAATTATTTCGGTTCTCTGTAAACTTGCATTTTACTTACAGGTAAACTAACTCAGCCAACTTGAGCATTGGTACTGTAAAACCACAGTTACCAACAGCATGATCCTAACTGCAGTATTTAATTTAACCAAATAACTTGTGGTGAATCCATTGCATCTGTAGCTTACTCTGTTAAGATTAAGCAGTAAAGTTGGTTATACAATGGGTGTCCTCTCTATGTTGCACTGGTTCTACAGCCAAACTTGCTACATTAAAATATTTTTAGATTAATTGCATTTCTTGATTTGAGAAGTTGAAATATTTAAGTTCATCCTGCTGACTTCTGGGATGGTTGGCAATTGCCAAAAAATGGCCAAGATGGTCTTTGATACAAATGATAGGGTGGGGGAGCTCACTGGAAAAATACTCAACTCTTCTTCAGCTGGATCTCCTTTCTGCAATTGTTGGGGAAGTGTTTACAGATGAATAGATTGAAGAAAATGTTTTTGACTCCTGTCATTTGATAGAAATATGATCAGCCAGATTCACCCCTTTTAATTCTTCCCCACAGATGTGATTGTTTACTTTCTGCAGGATAAAAAACCAAACGAAACCCCCGAGAGCTACAAGGCTGTGTGTTGAGTGACTGAAAAATGTTTTTTGTGTACACTCTGACAACCCTAGTGAAAGGAGTATTTTGTAGAACTATGGAATAAAAACCAACTGCTTCAGTTTGACTCCTGTCATCAAGCCAACTCCAGTAGAGAGAAAACAAAGTTTGGGGTTTTTTGTTTTTTTTTTTGTTTGGTTGGGGGTTGTTTTTGTGGTGCCTTGAGGTGCATGAGGTATCCAGAGGTGGTTCAGTTCACACTGTGAACCTTTAGGATCAGTTGACTGCAAAACAAAGGTATTACTAGGGAGGAATGGCCACTGCTCGGTTTAGGGTCCTTCCCTTTCTGCTCTGCTGGGACTGTGGTAACAGGGGCATTGTCACTGTGCTGATGCCACTCAAGTTGAAAAATCCTCTTTTGGGGGATGTCTTGTGTTCACAACTCATTTAAACTTAAATTCACAGCTGGATGCTGTAAATAGGCTTGTTACTGACAGTATTTGTTTGCCCCAGTGGAGTGATACTGGCCCAAGAAGATATTGTTATACCTGTAGTGCCTGTTGACAGGAAAAGGTCAGAAAATCTGGAATTTGTCCTTATCAGCACCAAAATAGGTTGGTTTTGGATGGGGACCAGTCACCTGTGAGGGGGAATCTTCCCTTCTGTCAGGAGGGGCAGAAGATGAGCGTTATTGCATTAGCAAAGCAAGACAAACTTGCTGATTTGGCCACAGTTGAAAGCTCCCTGATAAAGTGCTTTCTACTTTGCTAGAGAGAGTGAAAGTATTAAACCAATGTATCTTGGTCTAACTGGAATGACTGGTTTAAGGGGATTCCAAAATTTCATAGGCAATGAGTACTCAGCATCCCTTCTGGCTGTCTCCATCTGTCTCTGGAATGCTCTGGATACACTTGGTTAATGTTCTTTCTGTTTCTGAGCTCCTGCTAGCTGACCTAATTAGCACAGAACAGGAATGTTGACTCCCCTAATGATGGCAGCAGAATGAATTTAGCAATAGCACTTATTGCCTCATTAGTATTGTTTTTCAACTGATTGTTCCTTAAGAAAAACTGTTGCAGTTTCTACAATGACCTGGATCATCCTCGGTTTCAATTAGAGAGCAGCAGGTGATTTATGTGTTGTTACCCATGGTTTGCACCATTTGCCATCTATCAGCAAATTGGATGATTTTGTACAGAGAGCAGTTTATAAATTAATATCTTAGGATGGTCGGTAGATGCTGCCCTGTGGAAGAGGTGCATTTCCAGGATAAGAGTACAGTTCTTAAGTTTAAAGAAATATATTCCAAGAGTTCTGGTTTTGGGTCTTTCTTACTAGCCGTGGCCTGCTGGTACTTGAACCCACCTCATGGAAGCAGAATTTGGCACACAGGACTAGTTCTACCTGTGCAGGAGCAGAAGGAAAACAGGCCTGTTTTGTTCTTTTTCTTAATGACCTTTGTATTAAGTCTTTACTGAATAGGCACCTGCTGTTCCCAGTTGCTTAGATAGCCTGAGTTGTTCAAGGCATGCAGTTTGGATATTTTAGTCTGTTGGAATGAATCTGAAGCAGAATTTCATCCAAGCTATAGAATCATTTCCCTTAAAATACAGGGAAGTGTCAGACCTGGTGGTTATCTACTTGTTTTGTAAATAATCTCATTATCCTGTTTGTTCCCTCGGTTACAACTGCTGAATGTATATTCAAGTGATAATGTGCTTTCCATTATGGCTCCAATCTTCTCCTTCAGAGATGCTGTAGTTACAGAGTACACATATGCAGGGGACAGATGCCTATAGAGTAGAGTGAAATTCTACTTCCAGACTTCTCTTTCATATTTCCCTGCAGGAAAGTGTCATGAAATAAAAAACTGCACATGCAGTCACTCACCTCATTCGTGTTCTGCCATAAAAATGTTATATTCTTTCTTTTTAATAATTCCCAGCTTTGAATTTGCCTTAATAACTGCTGTATATTAAGCTGACACTTCTTGGAGCTATCTGTTATAGTGCCAAGATGTCATTTGTGGGTAGTAGCAGCTCCTCCTTGTGAAAGCAGAATTAGGGTCACGTTTTCCTAATGCATCATTTTGTAGGTCCACGTAATGTAGTCTGGACCTCTCACCCCATTGCTTGATGAAATCAAGTCCTGTAGCTCTTTGTACTTCTGCAGTGTTCTTCTTTACCTTCCTGGATGAAAACACCTGAACTTCATGTTCCACCTCCTCTTCAGATGTGTGAGCACAGCAACCAGCAGGACCCCGGTGCTGTGGGATTCTCGGGGTGACCCCTCTCTGCTGTGAGCACTCTCAGTTCCTGCTCCATAACTTTCCAGTGGCAATTTCTTTGTGTGGAAAAGCTTCTCCATTGTCTCGTGGTAGCTTTGTAAAGAGCTTTAGATGAGAGAGTTCTCCAAACACCCCGTGGAAATCTGTACCAAAGGATGTCACTTGGTACATGTGTGTTGACTGATCTGCTGTACTGTAACTCAGCCACATTTGCTGTCCTGTGAAGCCCTGGGTCCATGCTATAAACCACTGAAACAAGCCTTCATCACTCATGTTTTATTGCTCACCATTTCAGCACACAGGAATTGCTGGGCAGACTCAGGTGTCTGATCTCTCACGTCGCAGGGGACAAGAGTTCAAATGGAAATTTGTGGAGTCACGCTCTGATCCTGCTGAAGAACTGGGGATTATCAAGATGATTCCCTTAGGTAGAAGGAAAAAAGGAAAACTTTGAGCATATTTAATTGATTTAGCAAAGAGTTTCTGCAAATCTGCTGCAAAATCTCTGAACTTGGACTAACTGGTCATCGGCCACTTCATGATTTGCTGATGAGAGGACAAGAGAGCAAGTTTATAATTTGCCAGGTCCTCTTGTTTTTTGCCAGCACAGCTACTTGTCTGAGAATCTGTTTGCATCTGAAGATCCCAACTGAGTGAAGGAGACTGAGCAGAGCAGTCCAGCAGCCTCAGCTGTTGTGGCTGAGGTTTAACATCCGCAGAGCAGAGGCAGAGCAGTCTGTTCCATCTCCAGGACCCTTGGCTGCCTTGTCATCACACTCGCTTCTTTGACTGCTACTTTAAAATAAGCCACAGCCAGTGATCTGCAAATGTCAGGAATGGCCTCTGAGGCACGTTGCCCAAAGCCACCATGTCCCTCCTGAACCGAGTCAGCTCTGGGCTCTTCTGTCAGAAATCCAGACTGTGGCTGTTCCCGAATCCCAGGTGGGATTGGCGGGGCTGCCCCGAGGGTCTGTGCTCAGCTGGGCACGGGCTGGGGGTGCAGAGCTCCCCAGCACCCTCAGGACTGTGCTGCGGGTGTTGCAGAAAATGGCTTTAAGCTGTAAGAGAGCAGGTGTAGATTAGATATAGGAAGAAAGTATTTACTCTGAGGGTGGTGAGGCCCTGGCACAGGTTGCCCAGAGAAGCTGTGGCTGCCCCATCCCTGGAAGTGTCCAGGGCCAGGTTGGACGGGGCTTGGAGCAACCTGGGCTAGTGGAAGGTGTCCCTGCCCGTGGCAGGGGGTGGGACTGGATGATCTTTAAGGTCCTTTCCAACCCAAACCATTCTGGGATTCTGTGAAAAGGCCACTCTCCCTTGGACTTTGGGGAAGAACGGAGTAGGAAGCTGAATCATGCTGGGCAAACTACAAAACCAGCCTCCTACCAGAGCAGCAGTGACTCTGCTCTTGGAAGAAGGCACTTTTCCACATGCTCTGAAGTTTAGAGCTATGTGCTGGAACAGGGGTGCTGAGGAGAGCAGGATTCCACAGCCTGGGCTGGGAAGGATGTAATTATTTGTACCACCAAATGGTGCTTGTGTTTCTATTTGGCTATTCAGAGGGCAGGACAAACCTCCACTCTTAAGCTGATTTAGCTGCTTTGCAGCCAGTCATTCACTGTATATAAAGAATTTCAAGAGCACTATTGATTTTTAAAAGCATCCTGAAAAAATAATACATGTGAAGTTTGTTCCTAGCAGAGCTAATTTAACTTTCTATTAGTCTGCATCCTCAGAGTGACTTAGTTCAAGATTACTTTAGTCTGATGAATTCATCTTGTGTTGAATACAAACAAATGTTTTGGCCATTATTATGTTATTCTCTTTGTTTATGGGCTACATATGCACAGGAAAAAACCCAGCATATCTGGTTGCTTTTAACTGAGCCATGTAACTTATTTGATTTTTATATCAGCCAAATTAAGGCTAATGAACTGAATTTAAAGCAAAAGAGAGAGATTCATACAGAAGAAATAATTCTTCTCTTGGCTAGATTAATTTCTGAAAACAACTGACTTGGCCCTCAACATTAATCTCTGAGAATATTCGGAATCATGAAGAGCTAATAATAAAACTCCTGGGTCATATTGGACATGACAACTCATGAACAGAACAGAGGGAGCACTTCAACACTTAGAATTGTTTATCTCTGACCTCATACTAAGATTGTGCAAAACTTGTGTGTGCCCCTGTAGGCACAATTTCAGCATTTTTTAGCCTGTCCACTGTGTCACCTGAATTGCGTCTGACATTTGTAATTTTTCATGTGGTTGTCAAATATTGTCTCTGTTTTGGCCATCCAGTGTCTTCTGGCTTGGTGATGCTGAACAGCTGCACATCCCCATCTTCCCTCCCAGCTCTAGAGCACAACCTTTGGGCTACTCTATTCATGTGTGA